GGGCTAGGAGGATAGGCTATGGGGCGGAGAAGTTGGTAAAAGACGGTCCAAAGGGCAGAGTCTATATGGAGAGGGGCGCGGCCTGTAGGGGAAGGGGGGCGGAGCCTAGGTTTGGGTGAGGGGCTGGGGAAAGAAGGGGGGGTTTGGATCTCAGAGGAGCGGGGCTAGGGGTGGTATTAAGGAGAGTTAGGATTTGAGTCTAGATTTTTCAGAGGGAGTGGGGAAAGGCGCGGATAGAAACTACCCAGAAAGTTTTGAGACCAGAAGAGGAGCTCACACATGTGTGAGCCAGTTTAAAATTACTTATTCCGATATTGGGCGGGGCCAGAGACAGAGGAGCTAGAGGCGTGGCCTAAAGGGAATACCAGAACCCGACCGGGAGGGCGTGGCCTAGAAGGTGGGCGTAACTTGGAGAGAGAACACCTGCTTTGGCTTAGCAGAAAGTCCATGTCCGCGGGGGCCTGTACTTAAGAGGCGGAGCTAGAAGTGGGGCCAGGACTGAGAATATTAAGAGTTTGAGGCTGTGGGATTGCATGAGTGGCGGGACCTGGAAAAGAAGCAACCGAAGTCTGGGGTAGAGACTCAGAAGGAGAGGGATCGAACTAAAAAAATAAAGGATTTTAAAGATTTTAAAACTGGGGTTGGGCCACTGAGGTGGTTGGAGCTTGGAGGGAGTAGGGCTGCGGGGACTGAAGCCAAGAGTGTAGCGTTGAGAACATAGATTCTAGAGTCGTGTCCCTCTGGTTCTGCGACTCAGTTTCCTCTTCGGCAAATAGGAAATGATAATATAAAATAGTGTGTATCGCATGGTGAATGCTAGTTTGCTACTATTATTTTTCCCTAACCCTGATCCCAAACCTCCCTTTGAAAGTGAGAGACAAAGGAAGACACAAGAGTCCAATCTCTTCTAGTGACTCGACTTGAGTTCAGGTCAAGGGCATAGCAAGGAGATTTCAGTGGTTTAAAAATCTCACAGTGGAGGGGATTAATGCGGGGGGCGGGGGGCAGGTGCAGAGGGTGGAGCCTTCCTGATCCCGGGACAGAAGGATGGCGGCCCTTGCCCGCCTGTTGGAGAGTCTCCTCTGGCCAGCCCGCAAGGAAGAGGCGGTGGCGGCGGCGGAGGAGGAGGGGCGCTGGGCTCCCAACGGGCCTAGGCTCCTCCTGGACGCGCCGCGATGCTCTCAGCGGCCGCACGGGGGTGCGGCAGCGTCTTGGGGCCTACGCTTCGGGGCGAGCTCAGCGCAGGGTTGGCGCGCGCATATGGAGGACGCGCACTGCGCTTGGCTCGCGTTACCCGGGCTGCCCCCAGGCTGGGCTTTCTTTGCAGTCCTCGACGGCCACGGCGGGACGCGAGCAGCCCTCTTTGGCGCGCGCCACCTGCCGGGCCACGTGCTGGAGGCGTTGGGCCCGGCGCCTGGCGAGCCCGAGGGCGTGTGCAGGGCACTCCGCCGCGCCTTCCTGAGCGCAGACTCTCGCCTGCGCTCGCTCTGGCCCCGGGGCGAGCCGGGCGGCTCCACCGCGGTGGCGTTGCTCGTCTCCCCGCGCTTTCTGTACCTGGCACACTGCGGTGACTCTCGCGCGGTGCTGAGCCGCGCGGGAGCTGTGGCCTTCAGCACCCAGGACCATCGACCCCTCCGGCCCCGGGAACGAGAGCGTATCCATGACGCGGGCGGCACCATCTGCCGCCGGCGCCTCGAGGGCTCTCTGGCCGTGTCGCGAGCACTGGGAGACTTTGCCTACAAAGAGACTCCGGGAAGGCCCCCTGAGCTGCAGCTTGTTTCCGCGGAGCCTGAGGTGACCTCCCTGGCACGGCGGGCCGAGGACGAGTTCATGCTCCTGGCCTCCGACGGTGTGTGGGACGCGATGTCTGGTGCTGCCCTGGTGGGACTGGTGGCATCACGCCTCTGCTTGGGCCTGGCCCCAGAGCTTCTCTGCGCGCAGCTGTTGGACACGTGCCTGTGCAAGGTCCTGGGGCGGGGCTTGGGATCGCTGAGGGGAAGAACCTAATGGTTTAAGGGCGGAGGGGCTTTAGTGGAGGGCCTTGAGCAAAACTAAAGAGGGAGTGGGGCTCCACTAAAGGGCGCCCGTGGGAATGGGGCGGGGCCAAAATACGGAGAGGGCGGAACCTGAGGGACGCCTTGAGGCAAGATGGGAACGTGGTACCTGAAGTGCTACATAAATAAGTGGGAGGGATTTAAGCGAAAGGGTGTGGTCTTTTGGGATAGTAGGGCCCTGGGTCATAGGAGTGGGTCTTTTTTTTTATTATTATTGATTTTAGAGAGGAAAGCAGAGCGAGAGAAACATCGATTTGTTGTTCCACTTAGTTATACATTCGTTGGTTGACTCTTGTATGTGCCCTGACCGGAGAGGAAACAGCAACGTTGGTGTATCGAGGACAACGCTCTAACGAGCTGAACTGCCCCGGCCAGGGCCAGAGAGGGTCTTGAGGCTTGATTCATACCGAGAGGAGCAGCTAGGCTGTAGAGTGGGAGGAGCTTTCGGGAAGGGGCGTGGTCCTCTCTGATTGGGCGAGGCTAGACCAGTGTGGGGCAGAGTCTAAGAGATTGGTCCCAGTGAGTTGGCTTGGTTTAGACTGGCAGGTAGGCAGGATTTGAGAGAAATGGCATAACCCGATTAGGGAGGGAGGCACAAGAACACGGGATTGTTAGGGAGCTCTGCTTCCTAGGGCATGGAGCCCCATGCTGGGGCATCCCACCAGGTCCCACCAGGCTCTCTTTTCTCTACCTTCTTTAGGGCAGCCTGGACAACATGACCTGCATCCTGGTCTGCTTCCCGGGGGCCCCCAGGCCTTGTGAGGAGGCCATCAGGAAGGAGCTAGCACTGGATGCAGCCCTGGGCCGCAGGGTCGCCGGTGGGCAAGCTCTAGAAGCTCAGCGGGAAGGGTGGTCGGCAAGCAGGGGTACTCCCATAACCCTTGCCTTCTTCTCAGAGCTGTGTTCCTCTACCCAGGAGTCCCCCAGCCTGAACAAGGTTTTCAGGATTCTGGCCTCTGAGGACATCCCAGATTTACCTCCTGGGGGAGGGCTCTACTGCAAGTGAGTCAGGGTGGGATGGGGTATGATGGGGAGAGAGGTGGCCAGAGGAGGGCCTCCTCCTGAGGGCCTCCCTCTGCTCTCCAGGGCCGCTGTCATCGCTGAAGCTTATTCGCAGCTCTTCCAGGCCTCAGGGGAGCGCTGGGAGGTAAGGACCCTATGTTCTTGAATGTTTCTCTTAGAAGCGTAGAACCCAGTCCCCTTGCCCCCTTTAGAGATAGGGAAATTGAGGCGAGAAGGGGAGAGGGACTTGCCTGATATATTAATACATTCTTACTCCTGGCCTGAAGCATTGTGCTAGGTGTGATGGCAGGAAAAGAGACTGTGCTTCCCTCAGGAAATGTGCCCCCTGCAATGATCTGTAAAGCCCCGTCATTCCTAGTACCACCCCCTCCATCCAGGAATAAGGCAGAAAAATTCAAGGAATGTTGCTGACCAGGCCTGGATGCACTGCAGGCCAGGGTATCCCTGAGGATGATCTGGGTCTTGGAGAGAGGTCGTGAATGGGACCCAGACAGCCTAAGAGAACTGGAGATGTCAGTGGGTGGGACCACATAAAGGAAGGGGTGGGGTGGGGCTCGGGGTGGAAATGGGAAGGAGGAACCTAGGGCCAGAGCCCAAAGGCTTTTGCATAGCAGAAAAGAGAGTTTGGTTATTCCAGCTTAGAGGAGGGTGGTTGTTGATAGTTTCTGAGCAGCAGAAAGACATATTTGTGGGGATTGCTTGATTGTGAGTGACAGAAGCCCAATTCAACCTGGGAAAGCAGAACAGGGAGTTTACTGGGCCATGTAATTGAAGCGTTCAGGGACTTAAGGCATGACTGCATCCAGTTGTCAGATGATGTCATCAGGAACCGTCTCTTAGTTTTATTTCCTCTGAGTTGGCTTCATTCCCAGGCAGGGTCTCAGCTTGAGGTAGCAGAGTTGCAGCTCCAGCCTCAGATCCCACAAGCCTAACATCCTCAGTGGAGAGAAGGCACCAGTTTCCCAGTAGTTGCAGCAATGGTTCCAGAGCTGGTTTTCATCAGCCACACTGGGTCACATGCCTGCCAGTCAGTGTGTCTCTGACTGGCCAGACTGTGGTCACAAGCCCAGGCCTAGTGCTTAGGGTTGGGGATCCAGTGCATCCAAATCTGATGGATTAAGAGATGGGGAATGGTAGTCCCCCAAAGGAAAATAGGAGTGTTTCCAGAATACAGGGGAGTAGATACTGAGAGACAAGAAGGGGTCCCTATTCACCAGCTCTTACATTTTACGTTACAGAAAGTGCAGAGTGGGGCTGGGAAGGTCACTAGCACCCATTCAAGCTCTGCCTTGGACTTCCAGGCCTGACAGCTGTCGTCCTTTGGGGTCCCTCTGTTGTCCTTTGGGGCCCCAAGGAAACTTAGAAACCTCCCCTTCCCCCGCTACGCAGACCAGCGGAAGGAAGACAAGCCGATGGAGGAACCCCAGAATGTTTATTTCCCCTTCTCCTACTTCCCTCTTACAAAAAAGTCTTATGAGAGGGGAAGTTCCATTCACCATCTCGACAGAGAAAAAATACCCTAAAACCAAATGTTTGTGAACGGACCCTGAGAGATCACCCAGTTCAATAATCTTCTCTTCCTTTTACATTTCTCATCTGTTTTGGGGGAGGTAGGAGAGATTTTTTATTATTAAATTAAAATTACATGATTTAAGATAGATTTTTCTTGTAGAAAAACCCCACTCTAAACATTTGCTCAGGCATTTGGCAAATATATCGGGCACCTGCTCATAGCCATCAACCAGGGGGACTCACTGAGATTCCTGACTATTCTAAGGGCCCACCTCCTAGTGTGTGGGGAAACAGCAAGGGAACCGATAAATAAGATCATCTCAGACACTGACAAGTGTCTCAAAGAAAATAAAACAGGGACGTGATAAGAAAAGCTACTTTGGTTTTTTAAATTGTCATTCATCTTGTTTTTTGAATGGTAATAAGTTCCCTTGATTCAAATTCAAAGGATACAAAAATGTATACAATGAGAAGCCTTTCTCCATCCCCCACCCCTCAGCCACTTGGGATGGATGCTTTAGACAGGGGGCTCAGGGAAGGTCTCTGAGGAGGGGACAGTTGAGCAGAGACCTGACAGAGAAGCAGCCAGCCATAGAAATACCCCAGGGAAGCATGTCCCAAGGCAGACCAGCGTGAAAGCCTAGAGACAGGATCATAGTTGGTATTTTCTTTTTAAAAAATTTATTGATTCGAGAGAAGGAAAAGAAATATCTATTTGTTGTTCCACTTATGCATTCCTTGGTTGATTTTCGTATGTGCCCTGACCGGGGATCAAACCTGAAACCTTGGCATATTGGGGCAATGCTTCAACCAGCTGAGCCTTTGGGGTCCCTGGCCAGAGCTCAAACTTGGCATTTTCAAGATGAGGCTTGAGATCCCTATGACCATTGAATACTCCACAGCCCCATTCTTTATCCTGTTGGTAACCACTGCAATGAGTTTGGAGTAGATTGTTCCAGACCTCTGACTCTGCAAGTATACCCATGTATATGGAACCTTAGGTGTTTCCTTAATTATTTTCACAGTTTGTTTTTCCCCCACTCAATAAAATGCTGGGAACTTCTTTCATGCCATTTGCACACCTCATTCTTTTTAGCTGCTGCCCAGTGCGTCAGATAAGGGATGTGCAGTGGTTTCCCTATCCATGCTCCTCTTGATGGACGTTTAGGATATTTCCATATTCTTGCCCTCACATCACTGCTACCATAAAGATCCTTGGTCAGGCTCCTTGTGTACATATGCAAGGGTTTCTTTACTGCAGGGTTCTTGCTACCTGTTTTGTACAACACTTGAGCTAAGAATGGTTTTTACATTTTAAAGGGATGTAAAAAATATATGAAAGAGGCTCTATGCCTAATATACCTACAATATTTACTAATTGGACCTTTTTAGAAAAAGTTTGCTGACTGCAGTGCAGGTGGCACACAGAAGCACCACCCCTCCCATTTCACAGATGGGAAAGCTGAGACCCAGAGAGGGGAAAGGACTTGCCCAAGGTCACACAGCACTAGGGTTCTCATTCATTTGAATAAATGTGGGTTGAGATGCTGGTCTGGGCTTGGCTGGGTTAGTGAGGCACAGAAATACATCAAGTCTATACCTGTTCCTAAAGAACACACAGCCTAAGGAGACACACAGAGAAGCAACGATAACCCAGATGGGTCAGGGTTCAAGGGCTCCTAGGGTGAGGTGGAGAAGGGGAGAGGATTACTCAGTTCTGCAGAGAAGAATTAATGTCAGCACATGTCCTAGAAGTATGAGGTGAGGTCAGGACAGCATCCAGAGGATTCGGCTTGGACAAAGGCCACGAGGTTGACTTCCTCACCTAGTCAACTGGACCCCGAGTACTGTTTGTTTTACATTCACACCTTGTACCAAGCACCACTGTAGTTCTGGGGGTTTAGGCAAGAGGGCTTATAGCCCAGATTTACTCCCTGCCTCCAGCCCTCAGTTTACCCATTTATAAACGTCAAACTGATGATTTCCCAGGCTTCAGTCCCTGACTAGGGCACCTTACCCAGGCCAGGTGGCCCTGTACAGGAGAGGCGGGGCCGCATGAGTGACGTCACGTGGGCGGGGCCGGCAGGACCAGCTGCAGAAGCTTAGGAGGGTGTCCGGGCTCAGCCCGCAGCCGACGTGTGGGGGAAGGGGCTTGCGGGAGCGGGTACTAGGGAGGGTCTCCCTGCCTCCGTGCCCTCCGATTGCGGGATGATCCCGCCATTCTCCGCAGGCGAAACTGTGTAACGGCGGGACGGACGTGGGGAGGGAGCCAGGGACTTTATCCACGCTGGAACCCGGAGTCTCATCCCCAC